TGTGTGTGTGTGTGTTTTTAAGTGTGTGTTCAACTGTTTGTGTCAGTGGGTGAAATTGTGTGTGTGTAAGAGAGAGAGAGAGAGAGAGAGAGAGAGATAGAGAGAGAGAGAGAGAGAGAGAGAGAAAGAGAGAGAGAGAGAGAGAAAGAAAGAAAGAGAGAGAGAGAGAGAGAGAGAGAATGGAGAGAGAGAAAAGAAAGAGAGAATTGACAGAAGGGGAGAGAAGGGACAGAAAGAAAAGGGAAAGAAAGACAGAAAGAAAGATAGAAAGAAAGATGGAAAGAAAGAAAAAGCGAAACAGAAAGAAGAAACAAACTCACCCATCGCAAGCATAGATCCCGTAGTGTTTCCCCGAGGAGTGATCCTGGCAGACTTTACACGGGATGTCCACAAGGATACGACCTGGGCGGAGAGAAGATTTCAAATTTGACTTTCAGAAATCTTGTAATATCATTATACTTCTTATATACATACTTACATGCAAGATAAATATCCATTAAAATATATGTGACAAACATAGTCACTTTTTTATTTTATAAAAAGTATTATATACCTGACAAATAATTTTAATTAAAGTTAAGACAGCCCAGATTGTCCAATTTTTATATTTTGTTGGGTTTTGCTACTTGGGTTTTGCTGTGGGCTTTGACTAATTATCACAAATATCGTGGACAAAATTCTGCAAAAGTCAATAGATATAACCATTAAGAAAAGTAAGGTAAGAAGGAAGAACAGAAGTCTTCAAAGAGAAATTGTTTATTTCTCTGGTTTGCAAAATGTGGACATCTGTGATTCTCCTCCCTTAGTCTACAAAATGGTTCATTGTTGAGGCATGATCGTAGTCAAGGGTTTTGGGTTTTTTTCTTTTTTGTTTGTTTGGGGGGGGGGGTGGTGGTTAGTTTGATGCCTTGCTTAACCCTATCCGTACGCCCTGGGGTCATTTTGTACCCCCGGGGTTATATTCTTCACATTTTAGAATATTTTAAGTGCAAAGATCTCTTTGAAACTTTCAGCATTTCTCAAAAAATCTTTTTGCTATACTGTTATGCAAAGCATACGGATCTGATTAAAGAGTAAATTTCCTCTTTGGAAAGTGGTGACACACAGTTTTCCACGTCGTATTGATACGATAGTAAAACACGACGTACGGATAGGGTTAAACAACTGATAATATTAAAATCGATGAGGTCGAGATCATCGCGCGTGTTATGCAATCCATGCAGAGTGGATTATTTTTACAATGTATTTCTATCTTTTCGCCTGATCGTTAAAATGTATATCCGTCTGACTGCCGGGTTGTTGTATGCCCCTCCGCCTAGGTTGGCCTTCGCAGGCTCGATCGAATGTAACCCACCTCCCTCCTAAATGACCAAAATCGTGTCTACGAGGACGTGAACATTCTACAATTACAATTTCTTCTCGCAAAATTATTGACTCGATGGAGGTATGCCGATTTCAAGACTGCCTGTGTGTATGCATGCATAATAACAATAATAACAACGTCTCAGCATTGGAACGGTACTTTTATTATCAAACCCATGGAAACTGCAAGGGTCAGGAAAGTATGACGACGACTGCTAGATCTAGATCTAATGCCAACTGGAAAAGAGTCGATCTACAACTGGAATATAGGGTAACTTCAATCAGAACGGTTTTGATTTCGCCGTCTTTGATGTGTAACTTGTTGTCCGATACCTCCACGCTATCGTGGCTTCCTGTCACGGAGGCAACAATCAAGCACATATATACCCGCTGCCCATCTTGTTGTGTTCAGATCACCCCCCCCCCCCAATCTGTGCGACAACAATTCCCGAGCTTAAGACGCCACCAAAATTAACTCATCAAATTGACGGGGAGCTGAAAAGAAAGCTGACTA